CACTTCAAATGCGCACTTCGGAGTCCGTGCACTTCACTTTGGGACACAGCTACTAAGGTGGTGATGGGAAGGTGGCTTTGTACTGTGGCTTTATTGGTGCTGACAGGTGAAGTGCATTAGAATTCTGGTGATTGTTAACAAGTGGGTGGAGCTGAAGGTTTTGGCGTTGCTGGTGACTCTGTGACAACGTGTCCCCAACTAATGCTGAGTTCACACGGCACGATTTTAGCCCAATTTTTCACTCGCCGACAGGTTTTGCAAAATCGCCAACAAATGCCCGAAATCGGAGGCAAATCGGTGCTCGTTCACGCGAGTGACAATCACGCAGTGTGAATTATTAAAGACGCAATCTGAGGGAATCGCCGACATATCGCCGACACCCGCAAAATATTTGGCATGCTAAATATCTGGAGCTGTCGGCGATTCACAATCACGCTGTGTGCAATGATTTCTGACTGAAAACTACATCGGCGATGACCTACAGCCAATGAGAGACCAAGATACAGGGCAGAGGGAAGTTCGGGGAGGAGTTATAGACCACAATATCAGTATTTTAATAGATATATGAACAATTATATCATACAGAAACAAGCACAAACATTTGATTGGCCAACCACAACATCAGCATAACAGTTACTGCAAAATTATTTACCTCCAACTCTCTTTGCAGAACACCCAATCCCTGTTCCCTGCATCTCCCTCCTGCATAATCTGTTTTTCTTTTTCTCCTTGTAGCTGGAAATCAGCTCACAGACAATTTGTGGGCTATATATATTTTTTAATAATTACAGTCTTGCTCGCGATTGAGAACTCCGACGCACGCGGGTTCTCGCGTTATTTCCTTATCACTTCTCGCGTGTGTTTTGTTGTGAAAGGTAGTTTGCGGACCAGACAGAGCTGTTGTCGATTCTTCCTATTGTGAAGTCATGCCGACGAGTTTGAAAATCGTGCAGTGTGAACTCGGCATAAGCAAGCCAGAGGCAACAGTGGCAACAGGAATCCAAACTCCACCAGTAACAGAAATGGATTAAAAAAAAAATCTCAGGCTCAGTTGGGGGGACAGTTCTCTTCTGGCCAGATGAACCAACCTGGTCTGGTTTAATTACAGGCTGCATCACAAGTCAGATTGTGCATTGGTGTCATTCAGAATATTCATACAGTTCCTTCTGCTTCAATATTGGGATATATCACATGGTGAAGGAGTCGAAGCTAGCCTCAGGAACTGTGTAGACGACTTTCTCTACAGGTTCTCGTGGTCTTCGCTGAGGATCTGTGCCAATAGCTGTTGTCTTTACAGGGGATCTGTCTTTATGGGCTCATCTAGGTGTCATGGTCTCCGCTGACATTCAAGGGTGTTGTGAGATGTTGTCATTAGGTGCAGGTACACCATCGGATCTGGATAAGGGTGACCTCAGAATAAGGATGAAACAGACTAATTTAAGCATACATTGGGTCTAATGGGAAGTGTTTCCGGTTCCGGTTAACCTAATTTATGCAAGATAACAAGCTAAATGCAAGCTAAATGTGATAATGTGTTATGTGTATGCTAGTTTAAAGAGATGGGTCTTTAATCTATATCTAAACTGACACAGTGTGTCTGCCTTCCGAACGGTGGCCTATTATCAACTGGCCAGAATTTGAGACCACAATATACATTAAAGGCTATAAAGCGAGAGCTTGCTCAAGTATTGGGGAGCTAAAGAGCTTTGTATGTAATCAGAAGGATTTTATATTCAGGAAGCCAATACAGTGTTGACAGACCTGGGGCCTCATTTATAACCATTGCGTACGCACAAAACCTGCCCTGAAAGAGGCGTACGCCACTTCCTACGCAAAACTTGACGGGAAAATTTGCGCACCTGCACGCAAACTCTGACCCATGCATACAGACTTTTTTTCCTGGAGAGAGAAAAGTAATGAAGTAAACAACGATTTTAAACTGTTTTCATTTCATCATATAGGCTACATTTACATTAAATATTCCACTATCATTAATGGATAAGCAGTGAAATTACATATAGTCATTACGCAGAAGTTAAACCAAAATTATATGAATTTAGACATAGCCTATTTGTAGTGGATGCGCTTGATTACTTTTCCTGTGGTATGTTATGTTTTAATGACAGCGAGGAGTGCTATAGGTGCACAATAATTTATATTTAAAGTAAACTGCAGATCTCATGTTATGAGAAAATATTTTTAGCGAGAACAATGATCAATGATGCTCACTTCGATATTTTGGCGGACACTGCTGGATTCGGTGGAACGGTCTGTTGTCCGGTTTGAATAGGACCAATGATAGCTTACTGTACAACTACAGCTGCACGGAAGTGTTGATGTCGTGTGAAGGCATCTCCACAACATTATGAAAAATACCACTGTATTTGAAGGATACAACTTGAAGAAAACGGTAAGATTTGCACGTTTCCTTTTTAAAATAATTTGTCAATGACGCGCAGAGTCAGATAATTGTATTTACACTGCAATAAATATAGGCCTATATTTTTCCACTAAAAATAGCTCAAATATGTTCATCTTATCAGCAAAACTGCATTAATTTAATTAAATCTGAATTTTTTAAAACAATTGAAATATTATTGGACCAGTGGAAAGAAATGAAGTCTATTCTAAATCATTTTTCTGAGAACTATTTTAAACAGTTTTTTATGGATATTTTGCTATATTTATTCTAAGACATAACAAGGATATCGGATGATTTTTAGCAATAAAAACGTATGTGTATGGCACAAATGGCATTTATAGTCTACCTTTGTTAAACATGGTGTCACGTGGAAGGGAAAATGCATAGAAATTATATGCAGATGAGGTTATGCATAGTAAAACTAGGCGTTGTAAGCTCCAAATGTGGTGATTTCGGGGAGGAGTCGGGGTGGAGATGCACGTATGCACAGTCTTCCCCTGACTGGGATTTACAGTATAAAGGGATTTTTGCAAAGGTTCTGGCTTTTGAGCGTACGCAAAATCTAGCTTTTGTGCCTATATAAACTTTTAAGATGAAATCCATGGAGAGTTTTATAAATGAGACCCCTGGGCTGTTGAGAATTCTAGCTGCTGCATTTAGTAACAGGAAATTACTTCTTATCCAGTTTAAAATAAATAACATGAATAGTAAATATTAGGAAAAGAGAAATTAAAGAGATTGTTCACCCATCATTTACTCACCCTTAAAGTTATTTCAAACCTGTATGAGTTTCTTTCTCTTGCTGAACACAAAATAAGATATGTTGAAGAATGTTAAAAGGACAGTTTACCAAAAATAAAAATTATGTCATGATTTATTTTTTTCCATACTATGGAAGTCAATAAAGACCATCAACTGTTCAACTGGCCTCAAAATGGTATTTCCATTGTATGCATTACTGATTTTAATAATTAGTAGATAATCCACACAGCATTATATTGTAATCATTTGACTGCTGATTGTCCATCAGTTTAGGGCTTGTCTGCTTCTGTGTAAAAAAATTTAACAGTGTAAGGAAGAACTTTTGTGTTTGTGACTGTCAGGCATTGCTGGACACTTTACCTCATTTTTGAGATCAGGTAACATGCTGGTTCAACGCATGCCCTGTTTGCACTGCACTCACCGAGACACGGCGTAACTGTAGAACAGTGGAACCATTGAGAAACTAATAATGAGGAAAGGTTTAGAAACTTGTTTGGACCCTCATATGGATACGAGTGTTTGACATTTCGCTGCACCGTGTGTGGTAAGCACAGAGTCTTTGTATGTACTGATTATGTAATAAAAATTTAATTTGCTTAATTGTAAAATGTTTAAGAACTTGGCTTGAATTTAACCCAGGTTGATTAGATAGACAGACAGACAGACAGACAGACAGATAGATAGATTTATAGATAGATAGATAGATAGATAGATAGATTTTTTTTCAGTGTATATATGAAAAGGTTGCCAAAGGTTGCGGGTTCGAGTCTCGTACCGGCAGGGATTGTAGGTGGGGGGAGTGAATGTACAGCGCTCTCTCCCACCTTCAATACCACGACTGAGGTGCCCTTGAGCAAGGCACCGAACCCCCAAATGCTCCCCGGGCGCCGCAGTGTAAATGGCTGCCCACTGCTCCGGGTGTGTGTTCAACGGTGTGTGTGTGTTCACTGCTGTGTGTGTGCACTTTGGATGGGTTAAATGCAGAGCACTAATTCCAAGTATGGGTAACCATCACTTGGCCACATGTCACATGTCACGTCACGTCACGTCATGTCATATATATATATATATATATATATATATATATCAGGTCAGTAAGATATTTTTTGAAAGATGAATAATTCATCAAGGAAGCATTAAAGAGTATTAGTGACAGTAAATACTTTTACATTTTTACAAAAAAATATATATTTCTAATTTCTATTAATCAATAATCCTGAAAATGTATATATAATATTAATTAAATGCATTTTATTTAATATTTTTTATACTGAAGTTTGTCAGTGTTTTGTGTTCAATTTGGTTGTAGTATGTAAAGTAGGATTTGAAACAAGACATTTCCTTGAGGAGGAGTTAAATAGTTGCCATTTGAGATGTGAAACTATCATCAGTCACATTCTTATTTTACAGTTACGATCAAAGAGTATGTGGCAGGTGTTGCTAGTGTCTTCACACACTATAGAAAGCAGAATCACCTCCACAGAAGGAATCAGGTGGAAGATCATGCATGTTTTATAACTCTACTTTCTTCATCTGTCTGGCAGTCAACGTCTCCAAGCAACAGAGGTCAGAGGAGCACAGCATCAGGTGCGGTTACCAATTACAGAAAACACAGAAGAACTAGTTATGAGTACTATTGAGTGAATGTAGATCTGGACTAAATAACTCTGTTGTGCTTTTGTTGACAGGTTCTTGCTCTTTGCTTTGTTTTGGAGGATTTTGTATAAATGTTGTGGCCTGAACAAAGCTGATCAAAGACCATGGACATCATAAGCCATTTTGGAAGTCCAACATTATCTGACGTCAACGGCAAATCATGAGAAGTATGTGCATATTGTTTCAAGTAGTCTCAGAGCTGATTCTTCATATATTCTGCATTTAAATAAGGTCAGGTACAAACTGTCAGACTAACGTAGGTGAACACTATACTAATGGTTCCTCTCAGGTGTCTGCCTTCTACTAATGGTGACAATCACTCAAGTTCAGCTGTCGTTGCTCTGCCCTTCTTCTTGTGTGGTGTGTTCTGAAGATGTCATCATCTGTAATAAACTCTTAAACATAATTGGTAAGTAAATTATTATGAGGCTGAAGAATTGTTTTAGGGATAGATCACAAAAAAAATTAATTCTGTAATTTACTCACCCTTATGTTGTTTCAAACCTGACTTGTTTATTCTGTGTAATATAAACGAAGATATTTTGAAGAATGTCCAAGTGTTTTGTCCATACAGTAAAAGTCAAAGGGGTCCAGTGTTGTTGTTGGAGCCCATTGTATGGGGAAGAACAGTTGAAATATTCTTCAAAATATCTTTTGATTTACTCATGAGGGTGAGAAAATGATGACAGGATTTATTTTTGAGTAAACTATCCCTTTTAAGTACACCGAAAACTGTTGGAAATGCATTTTTAACTCTTAAAGCCTACTCTATCATATTTGATACACAAATTTCTAAGGCCTTATCAACATTATTAAAACTTTGCTGAAAAACCTGTTGTACACAATCTACTACATTCCTTCCGTCTTCTGATTGATAGTTTATACTTTCTGAGGAAGTAAAAAGGCCTTTTATTATTATTAAATTTTAGAAAAATACATATAAAATGTAAATTTCAAATATGATACATTTTGAGGAGCATTTATTTGTGCATCTCTCAATCATCATTGTATTGCATTGCATTAAATGTTTTGCCCCCACAATAAACAAAAAAAAAAACTACTTTGATCATGAATCTAAGCATTCAATTAAAGGGGTCATGAACTGCCTTTTTTATTATGTTGTACTGTTCTCTGAGGTCCCCCAATGTTATCAAGATTTTTACATAAAAAAAACATATTAATTTATAAGTAATAGGCTATTTTCTGTCCTGTTTTAACGCCCCCCATCTGTATGCTCTGTTTGAATAGGCCTGTCGGATTATCGGCTCGGAATTTAGGTGATTAAGGTCAAATGCTGCTGTGATTTTGGTCAAAAACGCATAATTACTCAGCACATATCAAATGATCTGATTAACAGACAAAGCAATAGTGACCACATAATAAAAACAGTTACTCACACTTGTGTGTTGTGACATTATTGTCGGATCCAGTATAACAGTTTGTAGCGAATCAGCTCAAAGGGGAAATATGAATAATCAAAGGGGAAGGGCAAGTTATTTATTTTTCATTGGCTCAAGTTAAAAAATATACAGGTGCATCTCAATAAATTAGAATGTCGTGGAAAAGTTCATTTATTTCAGTAATTCAACTCAAAATGTTCAATGAACACAGACTGAAGTAGTTTAAGTCTTTGGTTCTTTTAATTGTGATGATTTTGGCTCACATTTAACAAAAACCCACCAATTCACTATCTCAACAAATTAGAATATGGTGACATGCCAATCAGCTAATCGGGTATAACGCTTGGAAATGACAGCCGGGGCAAATCAAGACTTCACAATGAGTTCATGAAATGGTGTGGCTTATATGTGCGTGTGTAAATGAGATGCAGGTGTGATTGTGTAATCAGTCCCAGGTAAGAGGGATGATGGGAAATGGAGTCCGAATGGGAGATTGCTAATACTCTGGGGACAGTTCCCTCTGGTGGTGCGGAGGAGGCGGTACGGGAGCCTCCTCTGTAACAGAGCC